CACCGAACATCATCGTCAACAGAAAACTGTTCACCAAGCGATGCAGCATTGGTCAAAACAAAACTATGAAAGTGCGCAGTTGCATAACTCTAGATAACCACTATTGCTGAAACTTCATGCACTAGCTTTTAGCATAAAATGAAATATGAAACGGTACAAAAACGATACTGCGAATGAAATTACCTGCCACAGTTCTGATGGATTATCAAAACGACGTTCGAAAAGCAAACGACCAGTGTAGTGCCAGATCCGGAAGCAGTTGTCTATTCGTAGTCTTGGAGCTGTGGTGGCAGTCATCAAATGCTGACCATCCGGTGCCCATTCCAACAATGTCGTATTTGGAGCTTGAATCTGAAAAAAAAATGATATATCTCGTGAAATTCTTGTGCAAAGTTGTGAAGAACCGGTAAACGAAGCAAGGGACGCATGGCGTTTTTTTTTGGATCAATACTTAAGTTTTTTTTGAAACTACCTTTGAAATTCTTCTGCATTCTAATCCTCCTTTAACTAAAATTAGTCCAAGACGAGCTCAACAATCCTAGCAAGCAAAAAAAAAGGGAATCAAGAATATCATGCCTAATTGACAGGGTTTTTATTCGAAATGTGTTAAGAATTAAAACACTACGAAAACAAAAAATGACAAATTAGAGCAGGGAGCATAGACCCCAAAAAGAATGATTTCCAGTTCCACTGCATTATTAATACTGTTGTATAGAAGTGAAAAAAGCAGTAAGACAAGGCATAATAATATCTAGAAAGCAATAACCAGTACCAAAAAAATCAGATTACAGGTAACATGCCATCCGAGTTCGTGTTATGACAATTGCTCCAAGTAAACACCCAGTGTTTCCCGTGTAATGCTAGCACTTATCCAATTTGCAGGTTTTGTGAAAAAAAAAAACATATGGAGCTTTTTAAGAAGAATGTTACAAAAACATTTCATGGGAAGCTAACCGTAACAATTTCTCGACGCGCTTCAACATCCCAAAACTGCATACGTCCTGATGAGATATTGCCGAAACCACATAAAATCAAAATATTACCAAAACGATTGAAATACATATCATTTCGTGGTCCTTCATCAAAATCAAAAATTGGATCACATTTGAGATTGTAGAGTGTTACCTGAAATCCATTACAAATACATCGATAATATCACAACAGATGATTCATTGTACGATGTAGGCAAATTTCACTTCCAAGCATATGCCAGTACCAATTTACCATCAAACATAGGCGGA